CAGTCTTGAAAGTCAACCTCAGTTTCAAAATTCTCTAGGAATTCTAAGAATTCAGGATGTTTCAATATCACTGATGAATTCTACAATGCTGCAGATGACCAGAAAAACAAGCAGCCTTGAGGTCCAGGCTCATGGCAGGAAGAAGAGAGCTTTTCTTGTTCCAGCTCCTAGATCCCAGGATAAAGAAACTAACAGGGTAATGCCAGGAGCCTGGCAAAACTGGTGCTCCATCCTGGAGAACAGATGGACACAACAGGGAGAAAAGAGAGGATGTGAAGCTGTCTGAAGCTGAAGATGACCAAACAAGAGGCCAGGGTCTTCCAGCCAAAGTGCACATTACTTTGGGAACAACTTTGCCACAGCAATTGGAGCTAGGATCATGATGGTGAAAATAATGATTTCCATTGGAGTTCCCATAGATGCTGGCATCTCAATCTCATTCCCACAGGCATCCAGGTCACACTAGAGGAATGCCCGCTGCTGATATGAAAAGTGATAGTGACACCTGGAAAAAGGCAGAAAACGCAAAAACAAACAAGTGGAGCCAGCCAGTTGAACGCGCTTGGCTTTGCTTTTGGGTATCATGAGAGACATGACTACGTGGCCTTTCTTGGGGTACTAGGGAGAATTCCTGTGCTGGACACCATGGCCACTTCCCTAGTGAATGGGATGGTACCTGGTGGCAGCTCATCACCACGTAGGTGCTGTACCACCAGCACAGACCTAGGCATGTACTGGTCATAACCATCTAGCTCACTTCCAAGCAACTCTTCGCTCCCACTAGCAGCAATGATTTAAATACCATGAAAAATCTGCAGCTAAAAGAGATGAGTTGTTCACTAACCCAGTATTCCTGTATTCAGAGCATCAGCCTACTGGAAGAGAGCCTGACCCTCTGCCTAAAGTTGGAACCTATTTGACATAGCAGCACAGAGTTTTTTGACACCCTACTCTAGCCATAAGACACCTACAACCTTCTCTTCACCAATTCCTGCCCCACTCCTATTGAAGGAGACAAACTAATGTTCTTTATCAGAAGTGGGTTTCAAGGGAGCAACTGTACAGACTTGCAGCTGCATGGACTGAGAAAGTGAGTCCTGAGAACATGTCAAGCTGAACAAAAACAGCAGTGGGTTTCCAGAGCAGGTGGTAAGAGGAGTGAAGGGATGAGTGTGAATTAGAAGAACTCTTTATTTTGGGAGCATACATCAGCAGCAGTATCCAGAGCCATACACAAGCTCTGAGCATGGAGAGTATTGATTGTGCCAGGGCTGGGGAACTGCTGTTTATAGGTGCTGTCAAAAACAGACATCTGAATCTTCGGTCTGATTTCTGTAACTGCCCATGTGGCTGGGCTGGAAACATACCACAAGAGGGAGCTGGACACCACAGATGAAAGACGTTCCTCTCCATCCTTCCCAATAGCCACAGCTAAAGGCCGTCCAGTTGTTGCACTGACGAATGTATCTAGACGGTTTCCCAATACGTGAATATGGGAATATGCTCATTGGTGCCCCATCCCTGGAAGTGTTCAAGACTTAATTGGATGGGGCTTTGAGCAACCTGGTCTAGTGGGAGGTGTCCCTGTCCATGGCAAAAGGAGTTGGAACTGGGTAAGCTCTAAGGTCCTTTCCAACCTAAACCGTTCTATGATTCTCTTACTCAGCACTGGTGAGACACATCTAGGGTATAGCGTCCAGTCTGGGGCTCCCCAGTACAGGAGAAACAGGGACATAGCGAGCAAGTCCAGCAAAGTGCCATGAAGATGGTTAATGGATTGGAGCACCTGTTATACAAGCAGAAGCCAAGAAATCTGGGAGTGATCAGCATGAAGAATTGAAGGCTCAGGGTGGGATCTTAGGTACAAATGTCTGGTAGGGGAGAGTAAAGAAAGCAGAGTCAGACTTTTCTCAATGGTGCCCAGTGACAAGAGCTCAGCTCCCAAGTGATTTCCTCACCAACAAAGGATGACACAGAGCCCACAAACAGTGGCTGCATTTTACACATCTACAGCCCAGCCTAACAAAGGTATTTTTATCATTTACATGATTTTAAAGCATCCTATGGAGTCCATGAGCTGATGCACCTCCCTGTGCAGACCTGATCCCTGCAGAGGAGCACAGCCAAAACCCACAGTATAATGGCAGTCTGCTACAAAATGGTTTTCAATGCACCTCTTGAAGGCCACTGAGCCTTGAGAGAAGAGTGGAGACAGCGTGTGAAGCTGGATTAGGGACATTACAGTCTTTCTTGTCAGAGCTGACAAGTTCAAGCACTACCCAGTTAATGCAGCTACACAGCTCCTGCCTCAAGAGCTGCTTCAGTCAGAGATCATTCAGGCATTTCTCTGGGAGAGCTAGTCTAGTTGGGAACCAGCCACCAACCCGTCTTCTGACCATGTAAACCACTGGGCTCGGTCCAAGGGGTGTTCTCAGAGCCTGTTTCCCGCAGAGAATAGAAGGCAGAAGAAATGTATCAACCAGCTTCACCAGCAGATTCCTGCAGAGTTAGGCCATAGACCCAGCCCTCCTTTATCACACAGGATCTAGCTGTCAGACACCAGCCCCAGCTGCCTTGTTCTCAGTACAAAGTGGTCTTCACACTTGCCTAAAATTAAGAAGCAACTTTCTTGTCATGTGCATGCTCACTTTGCACATCATTACATGGTTACCTAGTGCTCACCCAGAGCTGGTGGCACAGTGCAGGCAGATGGTATCCAACAGTTACATAACAGGCACATGGCACACCTTGATCATTTTGACAAAGAATAGCCTCCCCTGTTTTAGTCTTCCCATTTGAATTCCAAAGCCCAAAAGATGGAAGAAGATACCTATGTTCTTGTGTGCCCAGCACAGATTAGTGATGCGCATCTGACTTGACATGGATTGAATTACACCTGGAAGCATTTCTATCATTTGTGCCTTTCTGCACCAATCCTATAGAGAATTTCAGTCCTTGGGCCACCAGGAGTGCTTTGGCGATCTAAGGTACACAGCCATGAGCAGAAGTTCCTGCAACAGACTGCAGCACTCAGTCTGGGACCTGGCCCAGACCTTTTCAAAAGGTGATTGTAGGAAACACAGGGATTCCATAAGACAGTAGTTCCAGTAGTGAAACCCTCCCCATAGCTGGCTGCACCTAGGATCCAGGGAACTCACCACATGGCAGTGGAGAGCATCACTGCTCTGCCTCTAACTTACAGAGCAGGCTGCTGCCAAGGACCTCATTCCCACGTAGGTGTCAGCAGACTCTGACCCTGTTAATTATTAACCAGCTCTGGTAATCTAAACAAAACATCGCTCCAAGTCATCCATCACTTCAAGCCAGTGGCTTTTCTGTGACTCCTTTCCAACTTGTCAATGTTAAAGAGCCAGAATCAGAAAGGGGGGTCCTGAATCTGCTTCCCAGAGGAAAGAGCCACCCCACTGCTCAATGGATGAAAGTAACACTACCTGACAGTGAATCCTGCCAGCCCCCTGCACAGCATCCCTTTTACACAGAGCAGAAAAGATGCTGTTTAAAATGACCTGAGCACCCCTGAAACATGAGAGATGCGAAGCCTGAAACTCAATCCGATCAGATTCCCTATGTGTATCTCCCAAACAAATTACCCAATGTGTGTCTCTTCTTTTGGGATGCAAAGATTCATTTTACCAATGAGAAAGCACAGGAAGCCCCAGAAGAAATTAATAGTAAAAAGAAAAAAAAATTACTGCACTGGAGTGAAGCAGCCTCCCCTGCAAATTTCTTGTAACATGTACTACTGGGTGCAAACTCAGTGGATGGCAGTGTCTGGCTCACTCACAACACCTGGTAAGGCCAGATTGGACAGGGCCTTGAGCAACTTGGTGTAGTAGAAGGTGTTCCTTCCCTTGGCAGGGAGTTGGAACTAGATGATCTTAAGGTCCTTTCCAACTCAAACCAGTCTGTGATTCTATGACTTCATGAGCCTTGCTTATCAGCAATGCCAAGCTCACAGTCGCTATCAGATACTATGTTCTTAGGGGAAAAAAATTATCCAGTCTCTTGTTAAAAACACCTCCATCAAAAGAGAGGCACCCTGGGAATAAACATAGTGAGAATAACATCATTTCAGCTCACATAGATGATGAGGCTGTTTCCAAAGGGCTGAAGGAAGCGAATTCATAAAACTAGATTGGTTCTGGTTCAGCAACAAATCATTCACTCCAGCTCTTGGATGAATTTGTGGATTTGCTTCTTTAAGCCATCACTGTAAAAGACTCCTAAAGGGAATTAAACTGTGGTTTGGATTAGCCTAACTTGTTCCTTAAGCTTACTAGCTTTTCCTTTGTACTTTTTCCCATAATTCACTCTCTCAAGACTTTCCTTTCCATCCTCTTCTCTGCCTTTCCCAGTGATTTCACAATCTTACAAGCCTCTCATATATGCCACACATTGAATATTCCAAATTTCTCCAGCAAGCCAAGGTGGGCAGGTTAAAAAAAAAAAGAAGGAAAAATCCCCTTGAATTTCTCAAATAGCCGATAAAAAACAACTAAACAGTAGAAGATCACCAGGTCCTTCGTCCCAGTGTGATAACAGAATAGTGCCTCAAAAAACTACCTAGAAATGGGACAACCTGACAGGTTGCTGAACATGTCACACTGTGATGCACACTCCCAGGTCAGTGTTTTGAGAAGGAAGGATCCTGAGCTGTCTTGGATAAGAAGAATAACACTGGAGAGGTTGAGCTCAGGTATACCAAGAGTCCACTTTGAAGCCTTGAGCCTTTTTAAGTGGTAGAGGAGGAGAAAGGACAAAGTTAAAGGCGAATTAACAACAACAAAAAAATAGCAGCAGGGAACAGTACTTCTGGAGAGGCTGCTGGCAAGACACCAAGGACAGAGCAAGAGGAAAGGTGGAGAATTCGAGAGGGAACTTTCTTAATTTTTTCTCCGAGCTCACTGAGTGGGAGGAGAAACAAACTAATTAGTAATATCAGGACAGGAGCCATGCTAGCCTATATAAGCTGGTGGGGCATTTTCTTTCCCCCACTCTCTTTGCCTAGCTTGTCTTCTGTCCTAGCCAGCAAAGCAACTGCTACCCCTGAGCTCATCAGAGAGGTAAGAGCATTCTTTTAGTTCCTTTTAACGTAAGCAATGAAAGTGCACTCTCTTACTGACTCACCTGGATCTTTTTTCTCCCATAAAATGCCTAACAAACAGCATTTGAGCAGTCCTCCTGAGCAAGAGCAGCTAAGGCTCAAGACATTCACTAAAGAGGTGAGGGAATGTCACAAGGATTCCAGTTACTGAGAATTTTCTAGCAGGGTGAGGATTTATTAGTAGGGCTTAGCCCAGTTTGCTGAATCTCTAAGAAAAGAATTAATAAAAGAATTAAAAAAAAAAAATTAAAAAAAAAAAACAACACAACGAACTTGTAACTCTTTAACATCTCCTTTTACTGCTTTTCTAGTCTGCAAAATTAAAAATGCCCAGATAGTAATAATGTAGAGTTAATGTGATAGTGTGTCTGGATTTCTCTGTCCCCGAGAGACAGATCTCTGAAAATTGAATTGCGAATGGGCTTAATGAATATTTGAATCTGAGGGATAAGCTTTCTTTTGAACTAATGCTTTGAAATGTCTCTTCTATGGGAAAACTTAAACTACCTTTTTGTTTTTTTCAGTGAGGTTCAACTGCATTAGAATCTCTCTGTTTTGGGGAGTGTGCTTGTACAGGTGTGTGTTCCTATACATAACGCAATATTACACTTGCAAGCTTTGCTAAACCACTGGTAATGTTACAAGGGCTATGCTAAGAATCTGGCCCTTTCCTCTGATTGTACTTGGATGCAGGAATTCCTCTAAAAACATTCTGCACAGAGAGCTGGCTGCCTGCATGCTTCACAGCAACAGTTCAGAGAATGTATGATTCAATGACTGTAATCGTGCAGTAGCAGTTCCTTGGAGAAACAAATGCCACACAATAGCTTAAATCCCCTTGATTTACAGAATAACATTAATTTTATCAGCGAGAGAGTAAAATTCTAGAAAGAAGAGAACATACTAGATAATTTTGCTGCATTTTCAGAGATAAAAGCCCAACTCTCAAAAACACAGCATCAGCTTGGAATTAACTATTTCTTACCTAGGAGTATTAAAGCAATTAGCCAAATCAAAGCCTCTATTCCTTTCCAAGCTGCAAGCACAGCACTGCTCTTATCATGAATACCACATTACAAGCGTGTGACAGGGCTTATCTCTACTTCATCAGGTGAATAAAAGAGTAGTTGCAGGCCAGATGTTGCAGCAGAAGCACAGAGTCTGCCTCGCTGCAGCTCTAACGAGGCATTACTGAGACGCAGCTTTAATAGGCATTACTGAGATTCCGTAGGTATGGCTTGACATGGAAGAAGTGTACACAAGTGGAAGAGAAATTGATTTAAAGAGACATGGAGTTGCATAACACCAGTGCTTTGCTACAGGGACATTCATTAACTCTGAAAAGATGATAAAAAAAAACAATAATTAGCTTATTGGTCCTGGGATGTTTTTGTTTTCATGAAATAGAAACATCTTTTTTATCTTTTCTATTCTCACAGGTTCCATTTCATAGCTGATACAAAAGCATTCAGATACTTTTAGCTGCAAAACTTTCCTTCTTGCTTATGTGAGGATGACAGGGAGATATTATCCAACAGCACAAAGATAACTAGACAACTGAAGGCAGCAAATATCTGGAATTACTGGAGAAAAGCAGCAGTGATCCATGTCTAGCTGTCACTTTTCCACCATGGGAAAATAGTTTTAAGTAGCTCCTCTGCACTTGCAGCAGAGCACAAATCAGTCCTTGTACCACAGAGATGAAAACCACATTCAGACACACTGCTGCTCCTTTATCACACCAGTTACACGCTGGCATTGCATTTCCTACCAGACCCATGGAACACCTTTTCAGAACATACATGAGGTTAGGCATTGCACTTCAAGCTGTGTGTCTTAACACAGCTTTAGTTAAGAATCTGAGATAAAAAAGAAATGCTTTCCCAGGCAAATAGAAATAAGGACTAAAAACTAAAGTTAAAAATCCTGACCCCTGCAGAAGCTAAGCAATCTATTCCAACAGAATAGTCCTTTCACAATTGTTTCCATTTCCTTTCTTCGTGCACTAAGAGAAAAAAAAAAAAAAGAAGCCCCCTTTGACTGAAAACTGTGTGTCAACTTAACTTCAACAGCAGGCCTTCAGAAGACCTGCTCTACTCTGGCCTTTATGCAGACCATGCACACTTCAGCTTCAATTACAGTACAGACATCACTGTCTTACAATTCTCTGAACATCTCCATTATTCTGGGATGAGGAATCTTTTGTCTTCTGTCCTTTACAGAATTACAGAATCACAGAATCCTAAGGGTTGGAAGGGACCTCAAAAGATCATCTAGTCCAACCCTCCTGCAAGAGCAGGGTAACCTAGAGTACATCACACAGGAACTTGTCCAGGCGGGCCTTGAATATCTCCAACGTAGGAGACTCCACACCCCCCCTGGGCAACCTGTTCTTAAACAGTTGCTATTGTCTACTGCCTAAACAAGTTAATGTGTTAGCAGATCATTAATCTCAGCATATATGAAGCTACTGCTTCTTACAGTATCAAAAATTATCAAAACTGCTCAAAATATTCTATTTTGCTGCCAGTTTCTAAGTGGTGCAGTACTTAGAATCATACAGTCATGGACTGGTTTGGGTGGGAAGGGACCTTAAAAGTCATCCTGCCACGAGCAGGAACACTTTCCACTAGACCAGGTTCCTCCAAGCCTCCTCCAACCTGGTCTTGAGCACTTCCAGGGATAAGGCAACCACAGCTTCCATGGGTAAGAAATACTTCTTTATACTTTCTTTGGGCAGCTAAGTAGAAGTAACACAAACCCTCCATGCTCTGTGTTTATGGATGGATGGTACAAGCCTCAGGACTGTGGCAATAGTTCAACCTCCACACACCAGAGGCAGACCTCATGCAGCACTGGGATGTGAGTCAGGGTGGTCGTGAAACCAATAGGGCTGGATCAGGGTCTATTACCGTGTCATAAAGGTCTCATCAGAAACCAAAGGTGCTCTTGGCCTACCCATTATGTATAGGGCTGTTCTGCAGGTGGTAAGAGTGTTCAATCAGTATTTCATTTCCCCTTACCATACATGAGTTGATAGGAAAGATGAACTGAATTCCATGTGAGATGTCTCTCTCTAGAGGCATACATTACGTGATAAACAGAGACATAATGAACATGACCCATGCTACTGGCAAGGAGGTAACCATGGTTACCCCACAACCACTGTAATTTTGAGTATTCTGTAAGAGCATACACACAGGGCATTAGCACAGCCTTGATGGAGGGTAAAGTTCAAACCAGGTTGGTGGAAGTGATTTACCTGGTCACCTGGTCTTTTTGCTGTCCCAATTGCATCAAGACAACTTAATTTCTTCCAATGAATACCCAGAGCAAAGGAGTTCTGTGCTTTCAGATTTGCACCATGCAGGACTGCCTGAACTATGCATTTAAACACCTTTCCACACCAAGGCAATTCATCAAGTTTTGATGAATTAAGGACTCCAACTTGACCAGTTTTCCTTTCCACTGTGCAAATGGACCAGGTGGTGACTCCAATACTTCTTTACATGCCCATTACATCCCACACTGAAGAGTCCTGCAGTGCAAACAGCTCCTCAATCAGCAGGCAGGGGAAACATACTGGGCATGCTAGCACAGGACACACAGCATCACTCAGCAAGTGCAAGAGCCCTTGACTTTATGGATTAGCAACAGAGAAAGCCTAAGTCGTATAAAGATTCTTTAAATTGAAAATGCAAATGCATTTTCACAAAAAATGAAGAGTATTTATCTTGACTGGAAATTTTGATTTAACTGAAAGTGCATCAAATTCACTTATTCCATTATTTCAGAATAAAATATGAGAAAATTGAAGGTTAATGAATCAAGGTAATGAATTATAACTGAGCAGAAAAAAGCCTTCCAGCACAGACACACTGTCCCTAACAACACTTTCATCCTTTTTTTTTTTTTCCTTTAGTTAAACTCCTTTTGCTTTTGTGTCCTACACAAAGTCAAATTCAACAGTCCTCCAAGTACTGGGCCTGTCTTCTACCTCTTTCATGTGGAACCTACCCTTGCACTAGCTGAACCCTTGCAGGCAGCAGAAAATGTGTATTTATAATTTGTGCAAATATTTACTCTTTCCTGAAACGTCACCATCAGACCCTGATAACATACAGTAAGAAACCAGCCAGGATGTACAATAACCAGTCATTCCCCCATGTGGACTCAGAGCTGCTTTATGACAATTTTGGATCTGCAAGTGTAATGTCCAGGGCTGAGGCTGCTTTAGCTTGAGTACTCAGCACCTGCATTTCTAAAGTATAGATTCTCTTTCCCAGCTGCCAAAAAAGCTTTTACTGAAGTTGGAAGCAAGTCAAGGACTAATTCCAATAATTAGAATCATAGAATCATAGAATAGTTAGGATTGAAAAGGACCTTAAGATCATCAAGTTCCAACCCCCCTGCCATGGGCAGGAACACCTCACACTAAACCATCTCACCCAAGGTTCTGTCCAACCTGGCCTTGAACACTGCCAGGGATAGAGCATTCACAGCTTCCCTGGGCAACCCATTCCAGTGCCTCACCACCCTTACAATAAAGAACTTCTTCCTTATATCCAATCTAAACTTCCCCTGTTTAAGTTTTAAACTGTTACCCCTTGTCCTATCACTACAGTCCCTAATGTATAGTTTGTGTCATCCTATTTAGACTATTAACTCCAAAACTGAATTCTTTACTTCTTGAACAAGCTGCTACTCACCAGTGAGACCTGAAGCAGCTCTGTTTTTGTATTCACTCAACAACACACCTTGTCACATGTATCCTTTGTCTTGACAATTACTAAGAATTAGACCTGCTCTTCAGGAAACAGTACATTCCAGAGAAAGGTTTGGCTGGTTTAAATTTTCTGGTTTCATATTGAGAATTGGTCTTCAGACAAATAATGAATTGGCTATAGGACATGGTTTTTAATATTCAGTATTTATAGCTGGTGAAAGTCTGTCATCCATGTGCCTGAATTAAGCTGTGTAGACCTTCATGAGTTGCCAAAAGGTATTCCAGCAGCTCCTAATCCAAAGGACATGCCTCTCATAGGGGATCCTGTCTCTGCCAGCCTTGTGCGGATTTCCTAAACACCTTAGTTAGCCCTAGACACCGCTGTTTAGCCTATAATGCTCCCCTACCCGGTTTAAGTCTTGATATAGTGCCTGCTAAATATAATAAGAGTCTTTTATTTAGTCCCTGAGGGTTTCTTATTTACATGTGGTCACCTACCTTGTCTTACGCTAAAGAACAATGGCCAGTTGTCCTGGTTTTGGCTGAAATAGAGTTATTTTTCTTCCTAGTAGCTGGTGCAGTGCTGTGTTTAGGCTTTAATCTGAGAACAATGCTGATAACACGTCAATGTTTTAGTTGTTGTTCAGTAGCACTTATCCTGATCAAGGACTTTTCCGTCTCTCATGCTCTGCCAGTGGTGAGGTGAACGGAAAGCCGGGAGGAAGCAGAGGCAGGACACCTGACCCGAAATAGCCAAAGGGGTATTCCACACCACAGCATGTCATGCCCAGTATATAAACTGGGGGGAGTTACCCAGAAGGGTCTGATCGCTGCTCGGGTCGGGCTGGGCATCAGTCAGCAAGTGGTGAGCAATTGCATTGTGCATCACTTTTTTATTCCTTCCTTTATCTCTCTCTCTCTTTATTTCCTACTATTATTGTATCATATTTTACTCTTATTTAAATTATTAAACTGGTCTTAGTTCAACCCATTTTTTTTTTTTTTGTATTTTGTCCCAATTCTCCTCCCCATCCCCCTGTGGACTGGGGCAGGGAATGAGCGAGCAGCTGTATGATATTTATCTGAGGAAAGCACTCTGAATTTGGCCTACAATCTCCTAAATCAGTGCTGGGTACTTCTAAACATGGGACAGCTGAAAGTACAATTCAGTAAAGAAAAATTTATTGTACATATGCACGCGAGTAATGAAGTAAGATGCCATGAATAACGCTCTAGCTAAACCATGCTCATGGGAAAGGTAAAGGTGATCCCAACAGGGACAGTATAGAGACCTATAAACCTAACTTTAGGTAGCTATCATTGGTGGCTGATGGATAAATTCAAACTGGAAATATGCGTTAAGCAGCAGAGGAAACTTAATCACTGAAGCAGCTTCCTAGATGTGGTGGACTTTTACAGAGTTGGATCTTCAGGTAAGTTTCAGCTCCTGTGAAGCCAGTGTCCTCTGATGCCACCTTGTTCTTCTTGAAGTCACCCCTTAAATCAAGAACTTCTTGATTTCTAGAACACATTGTGTAGCTGAGCAGGCTGTTAAAATCAGGTAAAAGACAATTAACTGAAGGCTCAGTGGTTTCTTGTGGTGTTCAAATCCATGACTGCATGGAAGCCTGGAAGGATAGAAAAGGGTCCCAAAAGCACATGAAAAGGGATGTGAGAATCAGATGTTCAAAGTAAGGACCTTCCTTTTTCTGGCTCCAAAATAAATCATGATGAGTGAATAAACAGGGAACAGTAAAAAGCATTGTAATGAACTGTCTTTTTTTTTTTTCCCCCATTTAATTTTAACAAAGGGTTGGAATATCAACATGGAAAACAGTGTCGATATCAAGATAGAAAACAAGGGGGAAAGAAACCCAGTAAAGCAGAATCCACTGATCAAAGCTGGGAAGAGGTTCTGTGGAGGTGTTGGGTACCTCACTGGAGACATGAAGGAATTTGGAGCCTGGCTAAAAGGTAAAGCTTCTTTGTTGTGACTAATTAGGAGATTCCAAAGAAGAATTATATCAAAGGAGTAATAACTAACTTCTCAGTAATGTGATTCAAGTCATACTAGTGCAGAAACAACCTCTGCCTTGATTTATTTCCATTTTGTGGGGAAAAAAGTCAGTTTTGTGTAGAGATACGCACACTGCTTAAATCTTGAGGATGACTGAGATGACATTTACCTCCCAACATGCCATGTACAAAGGAAATTTAATCCCACAAAACATACCCTGGGATGGTTAGTTTTTGCTCTGCCATTCTTCATAAGACTCCCTGTCTTTTCAGCTGAGCAGTTTCTGTCAAGACTAATGCCACTGTGAAGTTAAATTGCATATAGGTAGGTGTTCTTGGTCCCCTTAATAAATCAGTAATGGGATACACACATGATTTGCCATCTGAGGCACAGATATAAATTAGCTGGTTCACATGAATCTGGTCCAGGGTACTTTATAACATGGGACTCTGGCAACCATACAGTTCATCTCAGCTTTCCAGCTGTAAGATTTCACTACAGACCATAATAAATCCCAGTCAGATTTTACTGTCTTGTTGATTCATTGCTTCAGTTGTGCTGCCAAGTTCCACCACCAAACCTCCTCCTGAGTTTCAAAAAATCAATTCCAAATCAGTACCACCTGCATATTTGGTTGGTTTGTTTTTTCTATTACTATTTAACTTGATCTTTTACAGATAAAACTCTCATGATCCAGTTTGTTGACTGGGTGCTGCGTGCGATATCCCAGGTGATGTTTGTCAACAATCCCATCAGTGGGATCATCATCGTTGCTGGCTTCCTGATGCAGAACCCATGGTGGACACTCACAGGCTGTTTAGGAACTGTTGTCTCCACTTTAACAGCACTTATTCTGGGTCAGGATAGGTAAGTCCATCATTTTCCCTTTCAAATATAGACTGTCACTTCAGTGCTGATTTATGTGTTAAAAAAGCAACATGGAGTAGAAGTACATATCTAGCATTCCTGGCTAATAATCTGGTCTTGTAGGACCAGACAAATCTACCTTATCAGCTGCATCTGGTACAAAAGGACACTGGATATAATTGCAGAAAAGGTAGTTGCTGACAGGACAAGGGAATCAAGAATGGGAAATCAAAGTTCAGTTGCATGACATCCTTGTCTCTAAATTGGAAGGACACCAATTTGACAGATGGACTGCTTTGTTGATAAAGAACTGGCTGGACGGTCGCACACAAAGAGTTCTGGTCAACAGCTCCATGTCCAGTTGGAGACCAGTAACGAGGGTTTTCTCAGGGATCGGTGTGGGGACCAATCTTGTTCAAAATCTTTGTCAGTGACATGGACAGTGGGATTGAGAGCACCCTCAGCAAGTTTGCCGATGACACCAAACTGTGTGGTTCGGTTGATATGCTAGAGGGAAGGAATGCCATCCAGAGGGACCTTGACATGCTTGTGAGGTGGGTTGGTGCCAACTTTATGAAGTTTAAGCATGCCAAGTGCAAGGTCCTACACCTGGGTTGGAGCAATCCCAGGCATAGCTACAGGTTGGGCAGAGAAGAGATTCACAGCAGCCCTGGGGAGAAGGACGTGTGGGTGTTGGTCGATGAGAAACTGAACATGAGCCGGTAGTGTGTGGTCACAGCCCGGAAACCGTACCCTGGGTTTCATCAAAAGGAGCACAACCAGCAGGTTGAAGGAGGTGATCCTGCCCTGCTACTCTGCTCTCATGAGACCTCACTTGGAGTATTGCGTGCAGTTCTGGTTCCTCAACATAAAAAGGACGTGGAACTGCTGGAACAAGTCCAGAGGAGGGCCACGAGGATGATCAGGGGACTGGAGCACTTCCTGTATGAAGATAGGTTGAGAAAGTTGAGGCAGTTCAGCCTGCAGAAGACAAGGCTGCGTGGAGACCTCATAGCAGCCTTCCAGTATCTGAATGGGGCTATAAGGATGCTAAGGAAGGACTCTTCATTAGGGACTGTAGTGATAGGACAAGAGGTAATGGGTTAAAACTTAAACAGGGGAAGTTTAGATTGGTTATCAGGAAGAAGTTCTTTACTGTGTGCTGAGGTTGCCCAGGGAAGTTGTGAATGCTCCATCCCTGGCAGCGTTCAAGGCCAGGCTGGACAGAGCCTTGGGTGACATGGTTTAGTGTGAGATGTCCCTGCCCATGGCAGGGATGTTGGAACTAGATGATCTTAAGGTCCTTTCGAATCCTAACTATTCTATGATTCTGTGATTCTATGACCGTTGGCAGATCTTCATTACAGACAGTCCAGGGAGGGAGGGCTTGATGAGGGCACTGGAAGTAGGGATTGATGTGAGCAAAGCATCTGCGAAAGATATGATTTTAAGATACTTGTTCTCTTCACACAGATCAGCCGTAGCAGCAGGCCTGTATGGCTACAATGGGCTCTTGGTGGGATTGCTCATGGCTGTCTTCTCTGATAAGGGAGACTACCACTGGTGGCTTCTGCTGCCTGTAACACTGGTGTCCATGATGTGGTAAGTTACATGACTCATCTGCTTCTTACTCCAGCCCCAGAGCCCTCACACTGTGACTGAATTGTTGTGGTTTTATGCACTATGCAGACTACAGTGGAAAAGAAACAAAACTGGCAGATGTGTGCCACTAAATCTGTAGCATTATGTTAAAATCAAGTATAACCAGGAAACAAAGAAAATACCACATAATCACAAATAAACCCAATGGGGAAAAGGAAAATTGATGGCTGATTGTGTGCAATGCAATGCCCTCAATGTTAGCCATGCTACTGTGATGAGCCCATTCATTTTTATTTCAAGAGGAACATTATTTTAACAGGGGAGATTTAGCATAACTTTGATGTGAGCCTTTCTTTTTGATCCATAAACTTCAATAAGGACACACAGTTCACTCAGACCTGGCTTGGGTGTCCTAAATTCAGTCTACTCCAAGTGCTATAGAAAAAAAAAAGTAAACACTGCAACTGAGCTAGGAATAATTTCATTAAATCACTGGATCTCGCACAAGAGTAGAGGATCTTGTCTCCTTCATGGTCACCAAACTTCATGGTCACCACACTCTCCTTCATGGTCACCAAATAAATAAATATTGCACCAAATTCACCCCATATATTAAATAACACCACTGAAACCTGCACATTGATAATTGCATGGGGAAGGGTAGGAAATTAATTTACTGAATGACCCCAGAATACCTCTGATTTTATCAGACAGATTGAAGAAATTAAACACCTTAAAAAAAAAAACAAAATAAAGTGAATTTCCTGCATGGTGGTTTTTGTTTGGATTTGGTTTGGTTTTGGTTTTTTTTTTTGGTTGAAGTTGGGATTTTTGCCTAGCTGACAAGCTCCTAGTAACACCATATGTTCTTCTTTCAGCCCTGTTTTCACCAGTGCTTTAGGGTCAATCTTCTCTAAGTGGGATCTGCCTGTTCTCACCTTGCCTTTCAACTTGGCCTTGACTCTCTACCTGGCTGCATCAGGACCACATAACCTCTTCTTCCCTACAATTGTCATTCAGCCTGCAACAGCAACACCAAACATCACTTGGACAGATGCTGAACTGCCAATGGTAAGATGTCAAATATAACAGCCTCCTCCGTTTACAAAGAAACCACTGTAGAATGGTATTATCTTGCTTTATATTGCTACATTATGGCCTGCCAATACAAAATTGCATTTATAAGATAGCTATTACCCAAATAATAATAATATTATAAACCCAATAAAGGTTTACTTTAGGAATTGGCATTCTTGATATCCTGAAAATGAGAATGTTTCAATTCTGTCACCTTTCATTTGCAATTACATCTAAATATATATATTATGATTTTCAAAGAGGCTGCAGAATCTAATTACCCATTACTGTGTATACACTGATCAGCACCCCATAGCTAAGGTTTGCTGAGACTACCAGTTAACTCAGATTAATTTTAGTTTTCCATGTACAGAGTGGTGTGTTTTTAAAATTTCATCTTTCTGATTAGAAACTAGGAAGCAGATATTTCTATGGAAGAATGATTACAAACTTGGGTGCAGGCACATGTTCACATATTTTAAGTTAATATTCAAGTAGGATTTTTCCAAAAGAACATTTTACTCTTCATAAACAATATAGATACTAGAGTAATAGCTTTCCTCCATGGCTCAGCAGATTATTTTGAGGTGTTCCCAGGGAGTGATAAAGAAAAGGAAGTTAATTGACACTAAATGTCAACCCCCACAAGTGACATTTCTCAAAGAACGTTTACCATGATGAAGAGGACTGTTCCACACTGAGGAACACTACATTTTGAAGAAAAGTGTCTTGAAACCATTGCTAAGAAGTGAACAAGTTGAGCTCTGTCCCATCAACCCAGCAACTCCCATTCATATTCCCAGTGAGTCCCAACAGAGTTTCAGGTATATATGTAGATCAGGTACGTAGCCTAACCTGAGTGAAGTCTTCTAATTCTAGCCAAGTCATTATTGGCCATTTTACCTTTGGATCTGCCCACTCAGAGAAATCATAGAATTAAGTAGGTTGTAAAAGATCTTTAACATCATTGAGTCCAACCTTTACCCCAGCACCTTTACCGAGGCCACCACTAAACCATGTCACTAAGGGCGTCATTTACACAGTTTTTTGAATACTTCCCAGGGATTCTGGTGATTCCACCATTTCCTGTTCCAACTCCTGATCACCCTCCATCTTAAGGAGAATGTCTTCTCAAAGGCATCATCTCCCTGAGCGCTTCCATTTCCTAGATTCACAGCATGCAAAAAGCGGCAAAGCCAGCAGCATGCATAAAAGTGACGAGCAAACCCTTTCACAAAAGACATTTACCTTTGATATTGAGCAAAAAACCTGGCGGAGGAGCTCATGGATAGGGAGCAAGGCATGACTCGTTTTCATTGAAGGGGGAAACCCTATGGAAATGCCCTGCTGCCTCCTGAGCAATGTCCAAACTTTCCACTTACAGTCCATAAAGCCAGACTGCATCCAACATGAACCTGGCCAAGAAAAATAAATATTAAAAAAAAAAAAAAATTAAGCCAATAAGGAGCTCACTTTTTTCCTAATTTTTTTTTTTTTTTCGTTTCTGCAGCTCCTGCAATCCATTCCAGTTGGAGTGGGTCAGGTTTATGGTTGTGATAACCCCTGGACTGGGGGAATCTTCCTGATTGCTTTATTTATCTCTTCTCCTCTTACTTGTCTGCATGCAGCAGTTGGATCAGCAGTGGGGATGCTGGCAGGTAAGAATTTGACATGTGTCACTGATTTTATAAAAGCATGGAGAATAAAAGATGAACCACAACGATACAGTCACAAATGTTCCTGCTTGAAAAAAAATACACATAAGCTTCTGTCTTAAGAATTCTTCTGATTGATTTCCCTACTCCCTACCTCATTTTGTGATGGTGGAAACCTTCATAACATTTGGTGGCAGAAAATTGGTGGACTTACTGATGGAGGAAATCTTCAGACAAAAGAAGCGTATTTTTGGCTAAAATTAATTTTTATCGTGAAATACTTCATTTCTGGATATATACTGACAGGTTTAGGAGCAGCTTACTAAAAATGATTGCCATAAATCTGAATGTGCAGGCTTTAAGGATACATTTAAGGTTCACATGTACACTCATTCACTCATGTATATTCTGAAATTGCATAGCCAAATTCAGGTCAGTATCACCTAGGAAATGCTGTCCTGATTGTATTAGATTAAAGTGTCTTTAGTCTTAGACTTAGCAACAAAACTACTAATGGGAACTTCATGTATGTATGCTGGCTAGAGCCCTTAAAAAGCTGGATTCATGCCATTTTTCAGCATCTTTTATCTCTTTGGCCAAGGAATGACACATCTTTGATTTATTTTCCAGCACTGAGCTTAGCAACACCTTTTAGCAAAATCTGCTCTGGCTTGTGGGGCTACAACAGCTCCCTTTCATGCATTGCCATTGGAGGCATGTTCTACGCTTTCACGTGGCAGACACATTTGCTGGCAATTGCCTGTGGTACGTACCCTATGGATATTCTCTACTGCCCCATTTCCTTAAAAGATGCACTTATACAAGAGGGGGGATGGAGCCTGGGGACCACCTCAAGACAGGCAGATGGAGTTAGGAAAGACTGATGAATAATGGAGTCAGATGGTGGAGCCTTTGCTCTAATGTACCGTGACAAAATAAAAGCAGTGCTTTCTCTTCCAGCCAAGAGTTGTGTTTAAAATGAGAGATGCAATCAGTAGATGCTGATTAACTAAGGTCTTTGAAATTAGATGCTTAATTTTGAGGCATTGATTGTGTTTGTTCAACATTGCTGGATGAATTGTATTGTTTTTTCGAGTCATAGCTACCAGCTTAAATTCCTTCTTTGGAGGAGAACATACCTGAACTTTGAGAAAACTGGAGCTCAAGATCAGCCTGCATGTGTAGTTAGACAATAAAGTTTCCCAGTCTTGTGAAATAGATACCAAAGCCATGAGTTAGGCAACAGAGAATGATTGAAAAACTATTTATAAGGCAATTTCATATGAAATTTCAATATCACAGTGAGCTGAGAATGAAACTATTGCTCATTCAGTGCTCATATAAAAAAGATTAGCTTTGTATTTCATTGACCCACCTTCTAGCCCTAGAAGAAGGAGAGATGGGGGTGGAATAGTTATTTTCCTATTTAACCCAATCTAACAAGCTACACACTTTCCACGTCAGTGCATTTTTCAAAAGCCTCTGTTTTTATAGTCACATTTGTCATCACTCCAGTTCTTTTGTTTTGCCCTTTCCTTGAGCTTCAGGTTGAGGGAGGCACAGTGCAAAGGTAAGAGCTTTTAAGAGGGGGCTTATCCCCAGGTATGGTCATAGACATGGTTGAGCTACCTAAGGTAGTGTGAGAGATGTTTGTCTTTGCTGCTCTACTCCATGAGAATCTGAACTCACCAGGAACTACCCTATTCCTTTTCACAGCGCTCTTCAGTGCCTACCTGGGAGCAGCAGTAACTAACATGTTGTCTGTGGTAAGTAATGTAACAGCTGAGGCCTTGCTCCCAACAATAGATTTGAACACAGTGTATTTTCCTGACTCGTCAGGCAGAACACCAAGACATGGAGAACCACTGAGCTAAAGGCAGAATTAATCCAAGAGAGGGGACACCATCTGCCCATGGCTTTGGTGTGTTTCTCACTGATACAGGCCACTTACAACTTTTCTCCTTGGAACTTGCATGAACTTGCATGGCTCAGCCCACAACACCTCCAAGATAATTACATATCATTTGTGTCTGAGGTGATTGAGAAAAGGGCCCTCCACATGTGTAAAGAAACCTCAAATTTGGTTTAATTGCTCTGCCCATGTGCAAAAAGGCATCCAGTACAATTGCCCAGGGAAAAGCTGAATGCCTCTGGTATATGCTCCAATATTAACTCCATCCAAGACCACTGCAGATGCACAAAGAGAAAGCAGCCTTCTCACCACAGCTGGTAGATGTTGCAGGTTAATGCATAGTGTCAAGATTCCATGGAGAAATATTGTCTCCCCAGGGAAGAGATCCCATGCAAAACCAAGTCAAAAATTCCTTGAGAAAGCTTTTTTCCAAGCTACCTGGCTCTGAGTTTTGTTCAAGGTTTGACGGATCAAATGAAAGAAAGACGCACAGTAAATAGATGGTTTTTATTTTTCTTTGCAGTTTGGGGTACCATCAGGAACCTGGGCTTTTTGCTTGTCTGCACTGACCTTCCTGTTAATAACCACAAACAACTCTGCCATCTACAAGCTGCCACTCTCCAAAGTCACCTATCCAGAAGCCAATCGAGTTTATTACCTGAAGATGAAGAAACATCAGAGATCTTGTTGTAATGTATGAAAACCCAAGAGAGATACTTTGCAGATTTTAAGGCAAGAGTACAACGTGTTTCCCCCCCAAAAAAAAAAAAAAGTAATTTGCTTGCTAAAAAATCAAAAGACTAAAAAGAATCACCCCCTTCTGAGTAGAGAGACTTTTTCCACTGCATTCGTTTTATCCTTAGTATGTAAGGGACTGTGCTGTGCTGGAAGAGCCTTTCCCAAGACTAATCTGTAATGATTTAAAAGCACATACTTGAATTTTAAGCAGTGGGGAATTGATAGAAATTCAAAAGAAAAATGGGTTTATGAAATCTGAGTCATAGCAATCAGACACAAAGCAATAAAGAGCAAAGTATCTCTCAGCAGTTAATTAATAGCTAAAATCAGTTTATGACAGCAATCAGGTATGTCTTAGAAAGCTTCTTAGTAGCAGATAAGTGGAATAAAGAGTATCCTTTGCTAAGCAGAAAATAGGTAGTGAAAAATTCTACTTGGAGGATCTCTCAAGCCCAAGTGGAGAGACATGATGTAGCAGTAATCATCAAACATAGGATGGACTCAGATAAATTTCAGGCAGCATTGCTAATACTTGCAACACTAGTGGTAAGGAAATCACAATAATGGCATAGAGGGGATGTCTGTCAGCCCCATCTTTTGCATGTTTTAGTTTGTACTAGGCTGTAATATCTCATGAAAAAAAAAAAAGTTTCAGGCCTACCCAGTTGCAGAGAAAAGTAGCAAATGTCAGTGAAAAGAATATTTTTCTACCAAAAAAAAAAAAAAAAAAACAACCACCAAGTTTCATGAGTTTATGTTACTCTAACAATTTTTCTTAATACTTGGACTTGGTCATGGGTTAGCAAAGCAAGGGACAGCTGCAAAGGCATTGCTGTCCCTTTCCTAATCAATAGAATGGCTGTGTTCAGCCTGTGCACAAGTAGAACTAATTTGAACTCATCTTTTCCACCTCTCTCACCCACATCATCTGTTTCTACCCACAAATACCAAACAACAAAATTCTTCCCCATCCCAGTCTGCTGCTGAAGTTGCTTCTCTGCCATTTTTCTCCTGCAATAAGAAGGGGATGTTTGGGGGACCAGTGGACTTAGCAGAGGTCTGCAGCTGATTAGCCTTGTGCCATGTTGGTGTTGGTCGATGAGAAAATGAACATGAGCTGGCAGTGTGCACCCGCAGCCCAGAAAGCCAACCCTATTCTGGGCTGCATCAAAAGGAGTGTGACCAGTAGGTCAAAGGAGGTGATCCTGCCCCTCTACCCTGCTCTTGTGAGTGAATACACTTGGAGTATTGTGTACAGTTCTGGTGTCCTCAACATAAAAAGGACATGGAACTGTTGGAACAAGTCCAGAGGAGGCCACGAGGATGACCAGGGGACTGGAGCACCTCCCGTATGAAGATAGGTTGAGAAAGTTGGGGCCTGGAGAAGAGAAGGCTGCATGGAGACCTCAGAACAGCCTTCCAGTATGTGAAGGGGGCCTATAGGGATGCTGGGGAGGAACTCTTCATTAGGGACTGTGGTGACAGGACAAGGGGTAACGGGTCAAACTTAAACAGGGGAAATTTAGATTGGATATCAGGAAGAAATTCTTTCCTGTTAGGGTGGTGAGGCACTGGAATGGGTTGCCCAGGGAGGTTGTGAATGCTCCATCCCTTGCAGCATTCAAGGCTAGGTTGGACGAAGCCGTGGGTGACATGGTTTAGTGTGAGGTGTCCCTACCCATGGCAGGGGGGTTGGAACTAGATGATCTTAAGGTCCTTTCCAACCCTAACTATTCGATGATTCTATGATTCTATGTCTGCATAGGCTCCCAGGGTCTGCAGTTAGGAAAGGAGAGAGCTGACCTTGAACCCAACAGTGCTTGTCACCTTAATAGGTGTTAACTCATCCTCCTTTCTGCCTGGCTCCTCTAGATACTTCGTTTCATGATGGAGCTGACATCTTCACCAGGAACACTCCATGCATTCAAGTCCCTCAGTTGTCTTAATCCTACATGCGGTAATGTCTCTCCTGGGAAAGCAATCAAAACCCCTTTCTTTTGTAGCAGAGGAAATAAAAGGTAGCCTGTGAACAGTGCTACTGCTGATTTCTGAGGCTGGGTAAAAAAAAACCACAAACGTATCTTCTTATGAACAGCAAAAACATCTGAATGAAAAATATTTGGGATGAACTGCTGGGAATATTTTCTAGTGAAGTGGTAGGTTTTCAGATGTTTGACAGTATTTCTGTATGACTGACACTCCAGAGTTCACTTGTAAAAATGTAGCATTCCCTGTGTCTTATTTGGCAAATATCTACATAATATTTTGTGGAGTTAATTTTTAACACAAATATTCATACCTTTCAGGGTTCAGTATAAGTTTTCCTCTACTTATCATCACTGTACTCTTCCAAAGACAATTTATCTCTTAAATAAGTAGCTTAGAAGATATTGGGAAATAAAGTTATGAAATCAGTGTAAAGGGGATATTTTGGAAGCTGCTAAATTCTGGTCTTTTTACTTAGGGTATTTTGCTGCACCAGTATCTTCTTAAATGTTTAAGTGCAAAATTTGCTGCTGTACGGGAGGCACAATCAGACCAAGGCACAGTAACGTGCCTGCAGAGTTACAGGCAGAGCTGGAAACTTCTTTGGGATCAGATGAAAACTTGTTCCTAGGGGAGATGCTGGACAGGCCTTCAGATTAGGATTCAGTGAGGTCATGTTCTGCCCAGAGGATGTACCTCTCCAAACTGTGACGGAATGAGGACATATTTTGATGTCTGAACTGACATCTCCCACCTAGGACCATATATGTCCCAAAGAGGCAAACCTACAATGTCTGGCTTTCATTCTTGTGTCAAGAGCTGCACCCGGGTGAGAGTACACACTTTATGACCAGTGTAAATCAACAGATTTCCTCCAACTGGTGCTATTTCAGCTCACTGTTGCTGAGCAACAGGGATATTTTGGCAGTACCGTAAAGAAACCTTACGCACAGACCAGAGTAACAACAAAAGATGAAAGCTGTGCCTCAGTCATTAAATTTTTCACATCTTTCAGAATTAATTCCTTACTTTACACTATCCAAGAAATCACTCTTCCCTTCACTCTGTGCAAGATAACAGTTATTTTTTAATTTGACATGTATATCCTTCAGAATATGCTTTTTCCCCATTCTTGTTCATAACGCAGCCTTTGCTAACAAATCTGATTTATCTTATTATTGAAACCGGTCTCTTTTTCTTTACATCAAATAAATGCTATTTGAGTCACAATGGTTTTGTCCAAGCACTCTTTTTGAATCCTCTGTTCTGACACACAGGTAATACCAGTCTCTTAAGAAATATTTATGCTGGCAGGAGTTTTGGGGCTATTTCCTTGGTTATTTCCCCCAGCTTACCCCTCCCCCCTATGCCAACATAACACAGCAAAAGAGATAGCACAGTGACTAATATCTCTAAAATTAAATAAAGAGAAAACAATTTTGAGACAATCACTTGAAAACATTGCTTGGAATCAGATTTTATCCAAAAGTCTAATGCAGGTGAACTGCCTCACTGTCATTTCCCAAGCTGCTCTCATGGCTTCTGTCTGATGTGCATAACTCTTCCCAACACTCCCAGTTCCATGTCAAGCAACTGCACCAGTCTCCACCATTTGACACCAGTGTGCCTGCTGCTCCAAAGTACTTTCTGCTGTGATTCAGCTCCCCAGTACCACTGTCTGCAGCCACACACCTCATAGACCTGCATAAGGTTTCCTATTGGAGACAAGGGGTGGGAAGGACAAGAGATCACAGGATGCTGAGTCACATTCAGCAGATTTTTGTCAGCAGAGCCCACTCCTCTCCCTTCCCAAAGCAGCGTTGCTTCTTCATGGAGCCCAGAGTATCCTGGCAACACCCACAGCAATAACAAAAAAAGGGCTACTGCCCTCTTTTCCCCTTCCCCCTGTAAACCAGTATCTGGCCAAGTGCACAAGAGGCCAACATCCATCCATGCATCAAAGTCATTGCATCCTCATGATGCTAACTGGGAAGAGAAAACATTCAGCCCAGATTACCTGAGGACCAGACCTGAGAGCTGGCTGCAAAAGCAGGATGAAAAACAAAAGGTATGAGTGCAGCACACTACCTGTTTAGATGCTCAAATCTGGGGACATTCAACAATACAGTCTCCTTTATCTGATCCTCCAGGATTGTTGTGGGTTTTGTTTGGTTTTACCATGTTGTACATGAAATACCAGCAGCATAAAGAATGTTCATGTTGATAATAATCTAATCTTTTCAATCTTGCCATTTAGGGTAAAGGGTAGAACTGACACAGAATTTGGCCATCACTAGGAATAATTCACCTATTAAGGAAGGTGCTAGCCATGAGGAAGCAGGTCTGTTCAGTCAAAAGAAATACTTGATTATTTCCCCCAGAGTCTAAGCATCACAAAAACCACTATGCCAACTGAATTGCTAGACACAAATGAGCACCTTTCCAATGGTTTCTCTTTGTCTTGCCACAGAAACCTGCCTTCAGGTAAGGCTTTTTTTGGTACCAGCAGTTCATCTTACTCAAGATTTTGAATGACGTGGGGAAACAGTATAACTCTCAAAGCAAATACAATGACTTAAGGACCTGACTCAGCTTATTCTCAAAGGCACAGACAGGCCAAGGTAATTAGTTTCCTATGCACTGAAATGGAAAGTGTTTAATCAGGAGCTGGAAGCCTTAATGTTTCATAGTTATGGGCCAGAAGACCTGGGCATAGATCCCCAAAAGCTAATCCATGCTGGTAAATGAAAAGTATTATGTTCCAGCTCACAGACATTCATCCCCCACTCAACTGAGCATCCATGCCATGGAGCAGTCCCAGCCTTTGTCAACCAGCATACCCCAGACTGTGCCTAGACATAGCTCAACACACAGAGTGGACCTCTTTTGGCCTCTCAGTACTTTCTACAGTAGCTAGTATTTAAAGACTTTTCACTTGCAAAGGGGCTCTGAAGGTTAAATTACTTACCTTAGAACTTATAATCACGGACTGGTTGGGTTGGAAGGGACCTTAAAGCTCATCAAGTCC